CCCGGTGGATGGGTCCGGGCCCCCGGGAGAACGGGCCCCGGAGCCCCGGGTGGACGGAGCCCGGGCCCCGGGAGAACGGGCCCCGAGCCCCGGGTGGACGGGGCCCAGACCCCCGGTGGATGGGGCCCAGGCCCTCGGGAGAACGGGCCCGGGCCCGGGTGGACGGGGCCCAGACTGCGGGTGGATGGGGCCCGGACCCCGGGTGGACGGGGCCCGGGCCCCCCGGTGGATGGGTTCGGGCCCCGGGAGTACGGGCCCCGGGTGGACGGGGCCCGGACCCTCGGGAGAACGGGGCCCGGGCCCCCGGGAGAACGGGGCCCGGACTCGGAGCCCAGGTGGACGTGGCCCGGGCCCCCGTGGGGATAGGGCCCGGGCCCTCGGGTGAATGGGGCCCGGGCCCCCGGGTGGATGGGGCCGGGTCCCCGGGAGAACGGGGCCCGGGCCCCGGGTGGATGGGGTCCGGCCCTGGGTGGACGGGGCCCGGGCCCCGGGTGGATTGGACCCGGGCCCCGGGAGAACGGGGCCCGGGCCCCTGGTGGACGGGCCCCGGAGCCCCGGGTGGACGGAGCCCGGGCCCCCGGGAGAACGGGGCCCGGACCCTCGGGTGGACGGGGCCCGGGCCCCAGGTGGATGGGGTCGGGGCCCGGGTGGACGGGGCCGGGCCCCCGGGAGAACGGGGCCCGGGCCCCCGGGAGAACGGGGCCCGGGTCCCTGGGAGAACGGGACCCGGGCCCCTGGTGGACGGGCCACGGAGCCCCGGGTGGACGGAGCCCGGGTCCTCGGGTGGACGGGGCCCGGGCCCTCGGGTGGACGGGGCCCGGGCCCTCTGATGGACGGGCCCCGGAGCCCCGGGTGGACGGGGCCCGGAGCCCCGGGTGGACGGAGCCCGGGCCCTCGTGTGGACGGGGACCAGCCCCCTGTGGATGGGGCCCGGGCCCTCCGGGTGGATGGGGCCCGCTAGGGTGATCCGCTTGCTCCGCAACGCGAATAAGGGATATTTTCGATCGGTGGGCGTTAGGTTGGTCTTGTGTCCGTGGGTCATGTATACATTTCGGTCGGTTGTCTTTTGACGGCTAAGCATTTTGGTTTGAAAAAAAAACATCCATCGCATCGAGGTGCTCGTGTCTGATAACCATACGTCTACTATAGAACTTGTCAAGTGTATTTTATAGCATAGGTTGACGTAGGTCATTGAAAAATGAGAGCCATAGATGAATTGCCATGTAGAGGTTTGAAAAAATTATATTTTTAAGAATACTGTTGCTCGTCTTGCAAAAGCGATGATTGGATCTTGGACAAAATTGAATGCTCTTTCCAACGATGCCATTTTTAATTGTCAAACGTATCAGGTTATGCAGCAAAAGCCGTGTAATTCAGTAAGTCATGAACAAATACCATTTTCTCCAGCGATTTGTTCCACATTGTTTTTAATCAATTATCTTTTCACAAATTTTCCTTGAGAGGCGGTACATTCTGCTTGCCAACAGGCGTTGTTTGAACCCGCTCCGTCTGACAGTCACCCGAAAATAGCATTAAGTCCAAAATCCGTCCGAAACGTCAATTTTTCAAGCATAAGTGCCCTCACGGGTGCACGTGGCGCGTGCCATCCCTGCACCGCTCACCATTCGATAGCCCGTTCGATCCTCATTTGCCGATCGGACCCACGGTTACCGAGATACTGCACGGGGACCGGACCCGTGTCGGTCAAATTTAGCCATTTTCGCCCAATCTTGCAAGCCTGTAAAGTCTATGACGCGAATTTGCACTTATTGAGCACGCGCCATGTGCTCACCACCGGCCCGATCGAGCTGAGACCCCTCACAGGCACGTTCCCCATCCTTGTTCTATAAGTTGCGCAAAGTTCAGCGCACTAACGTAGGTGCAACGGTCTGACCTGTACCTACCCCGGGATAAGTAACACCATGCCGGAACCACGGTGGCAGACAGAATCTACGTCACCACATCACCACACCACAATTCAAACCTGGCCCAAGGCAATACATGACCCATGTGAGCACGTTAACCCTCGCCGGCTCAGGCCATTTTGCGTCCTTCGACGGCACAAGGGAGGGAGGGTACGACCCCCTTCCTCGCGTTTGGCCATGATCGAGCTAGAGCTTCGCGGAAAAAAACGAGCGTGTTGCCCGTGACGAGAGGAAGCCGATAATACCCAATTCCAAGGTCCTAGGTCATTGGTTGACCTTCCAGGTCAGGTCAATGACCCAAATGTCGGGAAAATCGGGACCTGTTAGAACGTCGTAAAATGTGGCTGCTATAGGTTTTTTGTCGGGGTGCTGATCACGAATATTATGTCAGTTTTGATCACAGATGATGTCTTTATGCAGTTAGGCCAGGTCGGGTCAGGTCAGGTCAGGTCAACCAGTAGTGGTCCCGCCGGGTATTCGTAGTACCTACGTATCAACCGCCTCTGGCAGCTTTGTAACATGTTACGAAGGCACCAGAAGTCCAGAACTACTTCTTAAATGTTCAAATGGTTGTTAAATTGGAATTCAGCTCCAAAAAAGCTAGCCTAGAAACATGCATAACTTGAAAAAAAGTGTACCGAGGTCATCATAAGTCAGTACCTGACCTGACCTTCAGGTGACGTTGACATCCACCCTTATGCATGGGAGCATCATCAAATCACATGTTTGAACGCTGGAATCCACGAAAGGACTGCAAACGCGCGGCTAATGCGAGCCGGCATATGCCGAACCGCGATTCTGGCCAAACATGGTCTCGGAAAGTAGGTCACAGCTCAAAGGTCATTTGGGTAAGGGTCATTAAATTTCTAGGGTAGGTGTAAAATTGATGAACGCGAGGGTACTGAAAGTTACGTCGCGATCAGCCGCTTTTTACGCGAGTTATTCGCGAAAAAAACCTTAAGGGGGGTGCATCAACCCCTCCCCATGTGCCGGCGAGGGTTAAAACTTCTTGTGAGCGAATTCACGTAATGAAGAAGAATACAGGCACAATCTACTACAGCAGCCAATATATGGCTTAGGACAAGCACATGGGACTACTTAAATCTTGTCCGACAGAAGCAGGCAACAGTTCTGATTGCATTATATGCTATGCAATGTATGCATATTGCGGAAAGGGCACATTTCGGCCTCGAAAGATACGAATACATACGTCATAGTAACATATTTCTGTGGTGGTCAATTTGCGTAAAAATTGAACACCGGGTGATTAACCACCGAGCTATTGTTCTATCCAAATTTTCTGATTCAAACTCGCTCAGGGTTATCGTGCAGGTAAAGGGGGCCCGCTCAGCAGAATGCGTATGAAATATGGAGAGATTCTGAAAAATGGGTGGGGGGCCCGTACACTAGGGCCTAGGGGGCCCGCTTTGGAGGCGATGACCCCCCCCCCCCCCGAAACGAAATCCTGGCTGCGCCACTGGCCATAGCCCTCTGTATACGGTATACAGAGGTCCACGGACCTACGTGTATGGCTGACAAATATAATAATTCATTACTCCATTTGATATCTTAACCCTCGTCCCTCGCCCATGTAGGGGGGGGGGTTGGTGCAACCCCCCCCCCTGAGGTTTTTCGGAAATAGTGCAAAAACGGCGGCGCGCAGCGCCGCCAAATTTTGGGTACCTTATGGGGCAAATCTTGCGCATCTTTTGATAAAAAAAATTTGACCGGGTCATGTCAGGTCACGGAGTTATGACGTCACAAAGGGAACAGCCTCCGGCCGGATTTTCACAAACTGAGTGCCAACGCCCGAGGTTTCCTGCCGGTGGTACGGACATCGGTTGATGGATCGTAATGAAACTTCCCATGCATGTTGGGGCAAGTATTGGCTATCATATGGTATAAAAAACTTGACCGGGTCAGGTCAGGTCACGGAGCTATGACGTCACAAGAGGAACAGCGTCCGGTACTATTTTTGAAAAGCGCCCGAACCACTATTTTGCTAATTCTTGTCACCTCAATGGGAATATGCAGCAATATTAGCTTCTATAGGGAGCAAATGGACATCCCAAATCCAAAAATACAATCAGATTTCAAAAATTTAAATTTTGATTTTTCGAATTTCTGCCGCCGACTGTGACCTTGCCGACTTTCGGCGCTCCCAACGCGCCATTTTTAGAGCTAGGGAAACGAAATACATACCAAACGATAGAGAATTGATCAAGAAATACGATAGTGAAGGTTTCAAGTCGATATCTCCCACCGTTTTGCCGCAATCGTCGCGGAAAATTTGAAAAAGTCTATTTTTTCCGAAAATTTGACCTTTGACCGGTCAAAAGTAGGTCAAATGTTGACCTAGGACCAAAAAATATACCACCAATCGCGAGATCTCGGCGAGAGCAATCCGTTGGTCTTTTCTGCTAAGCTCTACGACGCTCCGTTTTCAAACGCCAAGGGGGGGTCGCACCAACCCCCCCCCCCCCCCTGCATGGGCGAAGGTGGCAGATCGCCGTTTACGGGCGAGGGTTAACAATTAATCGGCACTTTCCCTGACAAGATGCAATGATGATTGCATACTAGAGTTGTTTCTTACTATGGCAGGTAATGAAAATAATGTAATTTTCTATATTGATTTACATGGGCGGATAGGAAGTAAAAACACTACCGCATATAGTTCTCCTTCCCTTTTGCAGCAATACCACTTACCAGGATGTTTCCTATCAACGCATTTCGAGCGATTTTTATTCGCATACCATGTCACGAGAACGCCCACGCTACGCATCGACTTTTTGTGTCCCGTCTTGAATAAAAATATTTATACCACCATCACAACCGAATATAATATACCGCGTAGCCGAGGCGAATTGATCAACAAATACTCAACTAAAATCACCTGTTTTGGTTAAAAATCGGCTACAAATTGGATAATGAACATTCCAATCGCGAAGTAGCTCTTCCCGCCCCTTTTGGCAGCATGCCAGGCGGACTCGCAGGAGGCGACGGCCAGGGTCAAGGGTCGTTCCAAGGGTCGGTCAGTTGACAACAGCCCCGGGACACGCGGGCGAGTGCGTGGCGGAGAAGTGGATCAAACTCGGGGAGTTTCCAATAGACTTTTGGTGACTTGTGCCGATCTGTTCAGAGTTTTAGAGGGTGTTATGCATGCGTGAGATCGAAGTGCAGTGAAGTGAGATGGAGGATGAAAGTCGCACTGATCGAAAGATTTAGAGCAGCGGCTGCACCTTGGTGAGTACCCAGAAACTGTACCGATTCGTCATGGCACGTCACTCGTCGTCGGGCATGAAATAAAATCAATGTCTTTTTTGTGAATCTATACTTTTCTGACATGCAGTGACGGTCGTTCTGTTTCGCAGCATAGCACTTGCTGTTTCATCATCAATGTTTCAGTTGGCTATCAATTGAACCGCGCAAACTGTAGGTACCGTCAGTTGCAAGGGGCATAAGTTACCAGCTAATGTCGCTAATGGACTCAGATATGCCTCATTAACTCACGAAAATTCATCAATTCTTACCTGACTGACCTGCAGTGTGCACATTCTTCGCTGCTTCGCCGCTACGTGTCTCAGTTTTGCGTCCATTCGCTGTGAATATTTCTGGAGAATGGGACTCTCCAAGGCAGCTGGATTTCATGGAGAATACTTATCTTCGCTGCTCTAAATTTTTGGCCGGATCGAGTTTCATATTGCAGAATTATGAAGAACGCACTCAGATACGCCTTGACACACTATTTCAAGCACGAGGCTTCCATCTGATTGCTGGTTAAACTGGAGCAATGACGAAAATTCTGGGAAGTGGAACCAGCGCACTTGGCGGGGCATTGGCACGCAGCTCACCGCATTCCACATGAAATCGTGTTCTAAATTGGGATGTAAACTAAAAACATCAAACGTCTATGATCAAACTGAATAAATTGTGTCATGGTTGCTCTCTAGTCTCCATGGCGCCGGCAATGCTGAATGCAAAAGCACGCATCTGTTAAGCACGCTAATCTTTTCTGCTTGGAAGTTATATTCAGGATTCCCATCCGCAATTATAACTTCTCAGAGAGTCCGACCCTCATGTGTTAACGAATTTGTTTACCATAATAGCATTTTGATTGGGATTTTATTTTTAGGACATCCACCTTGTTCAGTGATGCCCTCATCATCTCTGCATCACTGTTTTATTATTTGACCCATGCCATGACAAATACCTCGACGAATGAGTGACAGTAAGCCTGCTGAAGTGACTGATGCATTGTGATGGCGTCAACACATGACACGTCCGAGTCTGCAGAATCTCGGCAACTTTCACTCAAGGTGGTGATGCACCCACTCATTTGCTGTAGGTCGGCCTTAGAGGTTAGCCCCTAATCGGCGGATGGATCGTCAGGCGAGGGTTTACTGAGGGGATTGTATGACTTGTGAGGAATTTTCAGTCAGCACGTGTTGGATAAGGAGCTCCATTCCACAGGATATAGGGCTAGAAGGTCGAGAATCAGTGCCCAGCTCAGTGGCTCGTAGGCTACCTGAGATTGAGAGGCGAGAAAATTAACAGTGCCCGCAAACCTAAAACGGGAGAATTTCAAGGGATTAGACAGATCGAACCGGTATCATACCCTCCTAAAATCCATTGCTTAGCCGATGAGTGAACACCTACCAAGAGAAGCGCAGGGACATCGCGCCGGAAGCTGAGGTGACCGACTCTGCGAACTCGCGTCATCACCGACCGCCGCGCCGGTGCTCCGGGGTGCAGCGTCCCCGGTGGGTAGCACGGAGAGCAGTTAGCCAAGGTCACCCCGCCGGTGCCAGGCGCCGCGGCATCTCCCCCAGGCAGCCAGACGAGGGGCCGCGCGCGCCGGGCCGGTCCGGAGCGAGCAGGGACGGGGCTGGCCGGGCGGAGAAGCCCGCCGTGATTCAGAGGGCAGTGTCGGGGCTAGTCGGCGGACCGATGAACCGGTTCCGGTGCTCCCAGCTGCACTGGCGGGCAGACAGGTCCCATGCCGGCGCTCGGGGGCAGACAGGGGGCGGTGGGGACGCCATGCCGCTCAGAGAGGCACACCGGGGTGACGCCGAGCGCAACTTTCACTCCTGAGAGTGTGCAGCGCCCCGGCCGGATCTGTCACGTGATAGATGGCCGGGCCGGTGTCATACCGGTCACGCAGTCACGTGGACAGCCGCGGCGGGTGCCGGGCGTCTTTGTCGTGGCCGCTCGTGCGCGCCTCGTGAGCTGCCACGCTCCTACGCGCTCCATGACGAAACAGGAACGCGACTTTGATTTAGCAGTGTTCTAAAAAGATCTGCGGGGCTTCCAGTTCTTATTTCCATTTGCTAATGAGTTGGCACATCACCTCTGCAAAAACGCTGCCTTCAGGTAGCATAAATGCACCTATCACATTGTTAAAATTACATGAAGTAAAAAACATTTTAGGCTTACGGCGCTGCAGTGCTAAGAAAGGGACCCTTGCTGCAGCGACAAGGGCCATTTATCTCCATGCATTTCAGTGAAAAGCTGCATAGCATGCTGCGCTGACACCCAACTTATGTAAGCACCTGAAGGACCCCTAACTAAACTAACTTCAACGTGTGACACCCATACACTGCAGAGACAAGGTCTTTGTGTGTCATTACTCCAGGATTTTGCTTGACTCACACAGTAAATAATTAGAAAGTCCGGTTAAGTTCCATGCTCAGCTCAACTTTGCGGAGGCTAGGCATCGTTTTTATAGGCCGCTCGAAATATCCACCGTGATTGTTTCAGTTTTTATTTGGTGGAACCTTTTATCGCAATAATATGCTAGCTCTTTTTTATGCGTAAAATGACTTTTGTTCGGTGCTTGCACCACATCTGTTTTACTATGATGCCAGATCCAATATGAGTGCATTTTTGAAGTGACATTTATTTAAACTATTTTTTTTATATTTACAGGGCTAGTAAAAATGTTATAGGTATATAGCTTCCTTATTAACCCACAAAAACATGATTCGCATCTACTTTCCACGAGTGAGTGTCTGGACGAAATGTATTTGCTGCGCGCCACCAACGGTGGTGAGCGGCAAAGCCTTTCTCTGTCCGCGGGCGCAAAACTGTATAGCGACAACGACTGTCGTCGCAGTGCATAACTTGCTCCCGGCTATGTATGTTGTTACCCTGACTTGTACCACCTGAGGGCGTTACCCTCACCCAAAGAGCATGACTTGGGGTAAATGTCAGGAATACATAGACCCGTATCCACAAGTCATGTCTTTGCAAGCGCAGCGGGATGGAGAAATTTATTTTTATACCCTAGCCACATGAATTGATGTCACAAAATGAAATCGCCCAGAGGCCCCTGCTCATCATTTCGCAATTTTACGTTTTGTCGGTTACTTGCAGTTGCACTAAACGCGGAACAGGGAACGACTGCGACACGACCTGTCGAGTCAGCTCAGAACCGGCCGCGTGTCAAGAAGTCAGCTCGAACCGGGCTTCCGTGAGTGTTACACACTCCTGCCAGGCGAGTGATGATCCACTAACACGGGCTCCTGAGCGCTTACATGTCGCAGATCCCTTCCTAAACGCACTAAAGCGTCGCATATCCCAGCGGTTGCGCAGTATTGCTGCAAAATACGCCGCAGTTTCGATTTACAAATTGTGCCCATCAAAATTACAACTTTAGCCTAGGTGCATGAACTGCACGCTGCTGTTTATTGTTTACAGTTGCCCACATGCTGGCTGCGTGGCTTTCTCATGAAATAAAATTACGAGAGAACTTGTTCTGGACGAAGAATGCATTGGCGATCGTATAGTAATACCTCCTGAACCCTGATGGCTCTTACTTTTTCTACATAGTTTTTAGTTGAAGCCACATTTTCACAGCATCAATCAAAATATGCGACGGCCACCGTGTGTTAACGGTGCCTGTTTTCTCGTATCATCCGTGCTGGCAGCGTCAGGCAACTGTCCGACTGGAATCGGACACATCCCTGAACCGTTATCTGACACTAAAACAGCAGTCTGCAAGAGTTTTCGGTGCTCAGTACGCTCAGATCGTGATCATTTGGTGTCTGAGAAGATGTGTGGGATTGCTTTGAGAAATGTGCTTAGGTAGATACTCCCTCGTAGCTACTCACTGGGAAAAAAGAGAAGTCGTAGGAATGACTTCTCGTTCTGTTCGAGTGACGGTTATCTGAGTGTTGTGAGTTTTATCATGCTACCAGGAAATAGACGTGACTCACTGGGAAGCACTTAAAACCGTTTGGAGTAAGGGATCCGTGCTTCAAATATGCTGTTAGAATTATTGTAAATTCTAGTCCCCACAAACTACAACACTCGATATCCGGTTACCTTCAGATACCTGCTCCAACTAGCTCGCTTCCGTCAATTACTCACGCTCACTGAGGTCGGAATCTGCGTAAACTACGAGCTTCCCTTCCTCTACTGTCCTTCCGCGTGGCTCAGTGTCCCCTGCCCTCATTACGCATCCGGTGCGGCAGCGTCTGGCCCAGTAGTGCGCCGTCCAAATTACCAAGGTCACCGGTCACCTGCGCCCGCCCCCGGCTAGTGGCGAGCGATGGACGGAGACAAAGCGGACGCCCACATCACCCTGACAGACATCGCACGTACAGGGTTTTTGCCCCCCGGCAGGCATGATGGCTCTCTCACTGAAAAACCAGACGAGGCCAAAGTTGTGTCCGATGGGATGACCATGCGACCGCTGACAACTTCTTGCCGACTGTGATGTCGGAGCTGATGGCATAAGTCGCTATATCTCTGGGATATCTGCGACCTTCGCAAAGAAGGCGTATTGGTGACCCTAATAAACAGCCAGGCGGAATGCTTCACATGCTGACCGATTTAACAGAGATAGCAATGGCCTTCTCATCTGAAGAGCCTAAGGAAGGTGCAGCTGTTCAACGCTAGCCTTTCCTCATCACCGATTCAACGAGAAAAGCAATGCTGCTCTTCGTTTTCAACTGAAAATATACCATCACCGCCCAACACGAAGCCTCTTCAACGCTCTTTTGATTGACAAAGCCTAGACGGAGCTCCCAAGCGCTGCATTTACTTGTCGCGCACAACACCGACCCACGAGATAAACAGAGTTCGACCTGTTACAACACGTGGTGGAACGTCGAAGGGCGCCTCTTCGCCGGCGGTCGGGCCTCGTCAGCGGAGAGGCGCCGCAGTGTTGCAACTGACGGGGGTCGTGCCCGTCTGCCGGCCTCATGCACCGTCCAATCAGCCGGGTCACAGGCGTCGCACGTCTATTGCTGGCCTCGTGGTGGCCTTTGAGGTGCCGGGAGGGTGATGGCTCGCTGCTGCCCCAGCAGGCAGATATTCTTGTGATTTTAGAGTAACTAACTAAGGCTCGGTGAGCGGAGTGGTTTTTCACACCAGGATCTTGGATATGAAGTTTTCCTCCTGTTGAAAGTTTACAATGACGTGACTCGAGAGCTCCGGCGCAGACTCAGAGGTAATCTGTCAGACACTTATCACGTCTGCGGCCAGAAAATTGACCTCTAGGTGACGTGATCACGGATCATGCTCAGTAGTAGCCGGGGCACTTGGCAAACAGCCACAAAGAATACCGTGACGTCACTAGAGCTCACGTGACGTCATCCATATAGCGGCCACTGCGTGGGTGGGGTCACCAATGGAAGGTCAACCGGAAGATGTTACAAGACAAGGTAGGAAACAAGATTGACCGGTCTGCCTTGGAGATGGGTACTAGGTAATGAGCGTGATTAGCAAATGACCCCAAAATATAACGATTTATAAGTGTGGCTGCAATTGAGTAGGCTATAAAACATACATTCAGCATACATTTGTCATACCAAGCTGCATTTCATTGGCTAATCAAAATAAGTACATATACCTAGCTAATCAGCTGTGCTGCATTTAAAGGGACTATCCCACCTTTAACATGGGATTTGAGTTGAGATAGCCAAGTTTGCGGCGAGGTTCAGAAACCACTATCTAGGTTGCAACCCCCGCGGCCTCTTGGTGTTGAAGAAATTCGTTCCCTTCATTTGAAAATGGGCCTTGTACAAGGCCCTATCTTCAACATGGAGCGACCGTTAGTGTGACGTCACCTCGTTTAGTCATTCTGATTTAAATGGGTTTGTTCGTTGAAAAATCGCTTAAAACTTGGTCTGAACTTTGTTGTGGTGCCTACAGAGTAAAAAGAATCAGCTTTATGACAGTAATGTGACCTGGGGAAGGAGGTAATTTTGGGCTGTGACGTCACATATTTGAAAGTTTGTGTTTGGAATATGGGAAGCCTAAGATGTTTAATGAAAAATGATAGCCAGAACCGTGTTCCTGGTCATCCAATCTATAAGGTCGGGCACAATTTAACTGGTTTTAACAACATTTTAGAAGGTGGGATAGTCCCTTTAAGCTTTATTTGAAAATAAATTGAGGAACAAAATATATTAGCATAAAAGTACAGAAAGTGTCATTTTTTTCAGACAATGGGCGTACTTTTACATGGACTCTTATCTAAATTCACCGCTCCGTTTTTCAGTCCGCTTTAACCACTTCCCTGATCACTAGACATTTAAACCAGTTTGCGCTTATCTCGAGCCGTGCCACTCTGAGGGCTAACTGGTACCCGGCCGAGAGTTTTGAACCCCGGAAGCTACACCATCCAAGCAGTCCCGGACTCCCGTCCGCAACTTCATGGCAAGGTCATAGTAGATAAAAGACGCCAGCTGGCGTTCGACGGGACGTTAGAAAAGTGTCAGAGGGCTCCTTCGTGACCGCTGTGCTGGGGTTCACGGTCGGCCGAGGACGCCGCCCTTCAGAGGTCCGCTCGTGGAAACGGTTAGCATCTTCGCACCAGGGGTCCTTTTTACGGTCGATTTGTTTCCATCAGCCGCTCCCCCGGATTTCGGAGCCATAGATCGATGCAGAGCTGGGATTTGTGCCTTGTCTGAAGGTTAGAAGGAAACTGGAAACCGAGAGAGATTGATTCACTGTTCAGCCATGACCTTGACATGTCCCCTGGAGGAGAATCTGCGAATCACATGCAGATGGAAGGGGCGTTTCTAATTTCTAGTTTTGCTCTGGCCAAAACGATATGTGCTGAATGTTTGATAATTCTCCAAAGAAATAGTGAGTGCTGTTTAGTGAAATTATGTCATTGCTGTTGAACTCAAATGCCATCTGAAAAATGTTTTGAGCTATGATAAAAACAATAGCGTTTTCAGCAGTCAGACACTTTCACCGCCGTATGCCATTGGCATTTAGAATGATGTCTTGTAACAACGCATTCACAGCTTATATGCGAATGATTTTACTTTTCGTTTGGGATATTTTGAATACATCCCTTTGATAAATGGCACTAATCACTGGAGGCTCACAGCCCTATCAAGTAGATAATGGTGTCGCCCTCTATGCGTCCGCCCCGTTTGGGTCTCAGCCTTCCAACGCCATCTGCACTTGCCAAGCGACGATGCGCAACCGCATTTAGAGACAAGTCAGTTTATCACTTTAAAGAGCACCGTGTGACTTTCTCCTATACTTAACGTAAGCGACCGGTCCCTTTAAATGCACCTACCCAGGACCGTGAAACGCTGACCCTGCTTCAGCTGGGTGTAAAATCCACCGAAAACTCATCCTTCCCACGAATGGTTGATATTGCTCATATCTTTTACATATAGGCATTCATCTGACATGTGAAGTAAGGAACTGATTCAGCAAAAAGCTGTATTTCTGGATGTGGAAATTCTATATATGCAAAACATGCCAAACGACCAGATATGATGGACTTCGAAATCTGTAAAGACATGTATTTCTTTTTACGTTCAATATCAGAACCTGCATATAACAAGCCAAAAGGCTTGTTATATATGATGACATTGTATAACAAGCCTTTTGGCCACTATCAGCTTAGTTTTTATATCGTTTCTCATTGTTACAGTCAAAGGCAAACCACATCATATCACCACCATCCAGCACGACTATCTTCAAATAATGCCCGCTCAGTACAGGTCACCAAACGATGCACTTGTGCTCGGGGTTCATGGGCGCCGCCGTCGGACAGGAGAAGGCGGCGGCGAAGGCGACAGAGTTGGATACGGTACCGTGCACGCGGACACGGCGCGGGCTGTGCGGGTCCATCAACAGGCGGCTGTGCAGGTACTCGGGGGTTTCGCTGCTGCACCACATCTGGAAGGGGAGACAAAGCGGAGGCAAAATATAGCTAGCCGTAAGTGTCGGGGAATGGATTTGAACGAATATTTTGAAGTGAAATTATTGGTGGACATGTGTAAAGGTTCGAAATCTTATGTTGATCTTGACAAGAAAATCCGACGTTCGGTTGATCCGCTGCAAAACAAATTACCTGCATTTTTGTGCCAGGAAAATAAATCAGTTTTTCTGAGGAAAAAATAAAATTGTTATTGTAAACTCTTTAAAATGAGCGTCGTTTTTCAGTCTATCAAAATGAGCGTTTTTTTCAAACGCTTGTTTGCTCGGTGACCATTACCTGACCAAACGCGATGAAGAAGAGCTGCTCGGCTGTGAAGTTGGTGAGTGCCGGCAGTGGTGGCTCCGGCCCGTGCCGGCGCACGTACTGGTCAAAGTAGCCCTCGTAGGCGCGCGCCAGACCGCCGTTATCGGCAATGTTCTCCCCCAGTGTCAAAAGACCGTTTACCTGGTGACAGGGGAACGAGGTGATTACTCTGAGCAACGAGAGAAGAGGAAAAGACTGGATGTGGATATGCTTGCAAATGTGGGTTAAATGGATATATGTTGATAACAAATACTGTTTTAAGGCACACACATTAAATAGGATATAATATTTTACCTGAATCACAGATCAAGGATATTTCAGATTTATGCTCTCCCAGTTTCGACTCCCGCACTGCCTCCGTCACTCACATGAGAGTCGTTAGTGAACGCCTCCAGTCCGGGGAGGCTGTAGTTGCCGTACTGATCTCTGACACAGTCGGCCCGCTGTCGGAACTCTGCAGAGGTCTGGTCCGACCACCAGGAGACCAGGTTTCCCACAGCGTCAAACTGACTGCCCACGTCGTCGAAACCGTGCGTGTACTCGTGCCCCACCACCGAGCCGATCGCGCCGTAGTTTAGCACTCTGACGATAAATTAGATAAAATCGCTTTGAAGAGCATGCTTTTTTCATTATGCAGTGTTGATCAGTTCCTCTTTTCAAACTTCTGAATATTGAAGAGAGCTTTCGATAAACCGGAGCATAAGATGTAATTTAGATCAAATAAAGTAATCTAAATTTGATTACATCTGATTTCATAACGTCAAGACAAAAAGGTAGGTATAGCAAACGAAAAACTATAACATCCTAAAGTTGCTGCAATCAGTGATAAATTATCAGCTTCAGGCTGGCTGCGGTTCAGGGCTCACTGAAGTCCGTCGTCGAAGAATGGTGGTGCCAGAATCGCTGCTGGGAAGGTGATCGAATTCAGTGTTTGTTCATAGAAAGCATTCACCACGATCGGGTATTCCAGATACCTGCGAGAAGGAAATCAAAGGCCCTGTAAATCTTCGGAATTATCTGAAGTGCTCTGCAATAACTATACAAATTGAGTCAACTTATAAGTTATAAGTGGTCAATAATTTTGTCCTGTATACTATACACACGTGTGTCGATCCACTGGTTTGGTGAGAAGATCAACGTTCCTTCCTTGTTCCAACCGATTCAGAGACACGTAGTTTGCGAACTGATCAGGCTGAAAATCGAAACTCTGGAGGCAAAAGAAAGAGTAATCATGCGGTCAGTAAATAAAAAAGGTAGCCCGCGATAGGCACGACGAACTGATAAGTTTTACAATCTAATGGATTTATCGGGCAGTTAAAATGTTAACATCATCATGGATTCGCAATATCCACCAAATTCCTTGTATGTAGCATGTATGCTAACCTGGATACCTCTCCCCTACAATACTATATGTAAACTAAAAAACAGCCAAAATAATATACTATGCAATACTATCAAGAGAGGCCAATTAATAAGAAATGGTCATTTAAATCGCGCTGTTTCACATGTGGCTATTATTTCTTGTTATTGTCGAGACTCATCCAAAACATTTACGGAAAGGAAACCCATTCTTGGAACAAACTAGACCGATCTGTTGCAGGCCGTCGCCGTCAGTGACCTGCCTGATAGTACTGCTCGATCTCGGTGACATTGGCCATCCAGTTCCGGTGTGCCACGTTGGTCACCATCTGGTCCACCTTGGCCAGCGCCTGCTGCAGCGTGGCCTCGTCCATCCAGGTGATGTTGTTTAGGCGCTGACCGAACGCCGTGCCGATGTCGGATGCCATCGCAGTCACCTGTCAGACACCCTTGTAGGGGTAGCTGTCAATATTCGGGGTGTTTGAAATTTAGTAGGCTAGTAAATGATAAAGATCCTGAGATAGTATTTTACCCTGCGAGAAATCGGATGACCAATGAAAGCAATATCGATAATGTACTGTAAAACCTTGATGACAATGTCTGCAACGTAGATTGTGCAATGTGCATATCGCTAGTGGTTACCTTGTCTTTGCGGTCGGGTGGGAAGAACTTTGTGATGAAGATATAACTCAGTCCTGCTCCCATTGATTCTATCAGCCAATTGAAGCAGCCTTGTTCGCTGGAAAAACTCGTTGATGTTACTACATATGTAGATAATATGTTCTTCATTTAATTTGTACGGACTACGTAAAACAGCGAGGAATAAACGGAAACGTACATCGCTACCGATTTTGTGTTAGGTATTGGAAAAGAAGGCCCTTCGTGAACCACAGCAAAATGCGAATATTTTACACACAAAAAGGGCCTACATTCATCCATTGAGACGCAGTTCAATCTAAATTTGCCATCACTTGATTTTAGCTCTACTTACACGGGTGGGGGAGCTTTCAGACCTGCCGTAGTTTTGTAGAATTGATAGCGAATCCTCCCTGCTTCCGAATCAAGATGCACCAGAGAGCTCAGGGCAACACGCCAGGCGATGTAATTTGCTGAAAACGATCAATAACTCTGAGGTCAGTTTACATGCATATGCGTGATTTGAACTCAAAATTGAAATACGCCAGATTTAGGTGCACCTTTTTTGTTCCTTGGGTTAAATGCATGCTGATGCACCGTCTCAAATAAAAAACTGCTGGCTTCTATGTAGTGAAATCTTTGTTTTAAATTTACAAGATGCGCCTCATGAAAGTGAAATTGGTATTTTCTAGGCTTACTGCTCTTGTATGTAAATGATCAGAACTAGACTTACCCACGGTAGAGATATCTGTGTCGTTCAGCAGCAGTGTGAGGTTTCGCAAGAAGTCTTGTTCGAGCACCACGACCTCCATGCTGCCGTCTGGTGGTCCCGACTCCGTGTCGCCGCCCAGAGAAAGGAATTGATCAATCAGCTCCGTCCAAGGAATCTGCGAAAATGAACGAGACCAGCGTATTTCCTTTTGGAATTTCGGGTAGTGACGTGGCATACCTGCCTGCTACAGTCAAATAACCTCGATTTTTAATGTTGAATACGCAAAATATTCAAGCAAGGCTACTATGTATGTATTTGAAAACGCATTGAGAAGATGAGCTTACTATTTATGACCCCGTTTCCATGGGCATCACTGATCCGGATCAGTGCCTCGTAAGGGATTAGGCTGCCCATGGAAACACCCGTAATCCCTTACCGCTGATCCGGATTCTAATCCAGCTTCGAAAGAAGCTGAGCCGTTACGATAGGGATTAATGTTTGGCTTTTTAATTTTCTTATTTTCATGTTAATTGTTTTAATTGGCCTGGATGCATATATCACATTAGAAATATTTTATTTAAATTATACTATTACCAAAATGATATGTTTCAAAATTTGGGCTATATTATTATAGATTTAAACCATTGGAGATATTTGTTTGTGCATTCCTCCTGCACGGTGACAAGCATTCCGTTGCGCAACAGCATCCACCCATCAGTTATCTTGCTAAGATCTATTGTGCCAATATTCTTAATCTATTTGTTGGTGTTAGATGGCAAATCAATTTTGCAATCTTTTCCAGCATTTTTTCATTACCCGTGTAATCCCTTACAGCACAAATGTAGACTTTCTCGATGTTGCATCATTTGCCTGTCAACTATTTTCACATATAAGTTTAGGACAGAGGCGGCAGAGTGCCGCGGTGGCGCAGTGGTAAAATTTTCGCTTTTTGAGCCAAAGGTCTCGGGTTCGAAACTCGGGGTCGCCCGAAGCGTTTTCTGAAGTAATGGAAGACGGACGAATTGCTATGTAAATTTATTTGTTTATTTTTATTTTTCAACATGAATCGATCTTAAAAATTAGTTATTGTAGAGAGTTTGGAAGATTTTCCCAATAGCCGAGTTTGCTATCGGTATGATAAAAGAAAGCTAATCTTCAGGACGGAAGATCCTAGTCGATGTTTGCACAGTACTAGGCAAAAATGTTAGCTGGAGTTTTTATTAATTGCCAAAGTGCGCCATACTCGTCCCTCCTAAGCCGATCAGTAGCGGCTGAGCTCTTATCAAGATACCTATAAGAAACAGGTAGGTCCGATGTTTTGAGTAAAGCCCAAGTAAAGCCCTGGTGACGTCACTGACATTTCTTATATGGAGAATTTCGCCCATAAGGAAAATATTTTACATACGAAAATTTGTATTTCATTAGGAAAAAATACATTCTATCAATTTCATCATGAAACTTATATAATTTAATTAAAAAACTTGAAATCCTTTGAGTGCTTGTCCCAACCCCTGCTATACCTTTGGTCACGTGACTACCATGATGAACTTTGCGTTTTGCAATGTTATGACTTAAACAGAAGCAATAAATGTTACAAGCGTATTATTTATGATGTTTTAGGCAGCAATCGTGTAATAACATCCTTGAATTATATACATTCTGCTTAAAAGAGGTCACGTGATGCTACCAGATTGTGCTCGGACAGCATTTTCTTAAACTTCGATTTTGAGTACTTTTTACCTTCATTGAGTCCTAATAACGGACGTTTTTAGTTATAAAATGAAGCAATGAATCTATTGAGGGCAAAATTTAATCATTTTTGCACTTTCAAGCCGGGCTATCCTGGCATGAACTTCGGCCGGTTTGTGTGTGAAGCCTATGGTGAAGGGAAAACTTCACGCCCGCCTGACGTCACAGACCTCGGCTACCAAATCGTGTCCGGTGGGGGTCGGCTCTTATTTCACTCGCATTTCACTGATCCGGATCAGTACCGGCTTTGCCCATGGAAACGGCCCCAGTCATCCGGATCAGTAGCGGCTTCACTGATCCGGATACGAATCCCCTTGCCCATGGAAACGTAGTCAATTTCGTTTGTATTATTTTAACCGTTTTTGGCTCGAGACTATGCAACTCAATTGTGTAATGCTGACATGCAATAAAAGGCATCCAGCGCTTCGTATAGCATTACGATTTACGAACCATGTTTGGCTGAATCTGGTCGGTAAGCTGCTGGAGCTCGTTTAGCGTCATCTTGTTGTATATCCGGCTGCTATTTCGACGGTTCTCGGCTGCGATGGTTAGCTGCAAAAGATAACCATAATTTTTCATGCCGACATTTTTGAAGTGTTTTTTTTTTCTAATGTATGCAAAAAAAACAGTACATCATGAGTCATTCAATTTCACAATGACATTTACCTACACAGTTTGCGCATACCCGTAGTCTGAATAAATTGTGACACAATTGCGTAATATCAACCACTCTCCCCGTCGCATTGTCACCAGTCTCACCCTGGCTAGCTGGACCTCGAACTGCCGAATCTGGGCAGCAGCCTCCTGTGCTGCCGCTCTGACGGTCTCGTTGACAGTTGACTGTCCCTCGCCATCCCTTGGCAGCAGCAGAAGCAGAGTGTCGGTGATGAGACGCTCGTAGGCAGAGTGCAGCTCGGGGTTAGACTCTGGCTCCACCAGAATCCCGCGGGTCATGCCCAGAGATGGCTGATCCACCTGAGGAGAGAAGAGAGAGAGAGAGAGAGAGAGAGAGAGAGAGAGAGAGAGAGAGAGAGAGAGAGAGAGAGAGAGAGAGAGAGAGAGAGAGAGAGAGAGAGAGAGAGAGAAGAAAGAGAGAGTAGGAGAAAAAGAGAAAGAGAGAGGGGAGAGAGGACGAAAGACTGAGAGGCTGATCGGATGATCCGTCCGCGAGTAAATGACAATCGTGCGGAAATCAATCACTGAATGTCCCGGACAACTTTCTACTGCTCCTGCCGCTAGATGGCTCTAGTGTAAGCGCCTGAAGTTATGTTGCGCCGCACGGCAGCGAGCGGCTTACAATTTGATATTCCTGCCGCCAGATGGTTCTAGTTGTAAGCGTCTGAAGTTATGCTGCACCGCACAACATCAAACCCAGTCCGCCGCTCCCGCTACTCTACATACGTGCAACAGGTGCCGTGTTGCGTTTTTCTCGTCGATGGAAACGGATAGATATACGAGCGGCGCTCCGGTCAGTCTGCCGGTGTAGCGCTGCGCCAACATCGCTGCCGTCGACCATCTGTAGCCGGTGTTGTTCCACTGGGTCCCCGTGAGGGAGGACAGGGCCGGCCAGCCGCCGATCCGCTCCAGAGCCGCCGACAGACGACTCACGCCAGCCTGGTCACGTGACGCTGCGGCAGATTTATGGTTATGTCAATGGCAAGTTAGTTATGTTTATAGTTAATAGTTGGATTGGTAGATCAGGTGAGATGCTGAGTGGGAGCACATTCAAGCAACTAAGAATTGACAAACAAGCAATAAGTTCATGTATTTTGGAGTTGGCCATTTATCATAAAGCTGTAGGTATTTAATTGGTGTGCGGTAGTTTAAAGGTATTTACCGGAGAGATCAGAGACTAAATTCATCCGGTTGTCTTAGTTTCGAAATATTTGTATCCGTTGACCTAGAGTCGGCATTGTGACAAAACATCAAGGTCGTGACTCGTGGTAGTACACAGGTGTGTTGAACACTTGATTTGCAGCAATGAAAGCCATAAATATTGCTGCATTTGACAAGCGCATTGTAAGAATCTGAATGACGAAGCTTTGTTTTGACATTTGTTTTGTGAGAACACTATTACCCTCGGTCGTAAGTCGTAAAAGCAATTCCTCAACAAACCATCTTCAACCTTATCAACCCTCCTGACAACTTACTCATGTTAGTGCACTGCTGGAAGGCCTGTCGGACCTTTCCTGCCGCTCCGGCGAGGTCCTCCGGCTCTCTAGACATCAAATCCTCGCTCATCACCGTCTGATGGTGTCGGCTGACCATCAGGAAATGGTTCCAGGTGGCCTCCTCCGTGGGACGCGGTTGGTTCAAGTGAAATTGGCCACACGAGAACTGGTAAAAGTCCTGACACGGGTCCACCGATGGATCCATGTAGTCCAGAATCCGCGCCGCTGTGAAAAAGGGGTGTGAAAACTTGTTTGTACTCGAATGAAAGTGGCATAGGATGACAGAATGAGGCATAGGCGTGATACCTTATGCAGAGAAGAGAGATGGGAAATAGAAATCGTTGGTTAGATCGATACCTACTCTATTAACAATTCTAACACAGGCTTTTTATTTCATTGGCTGAGAGTTATGTGAAATGCGCATGCAGCTTGCACTATACCGTTTCTCCCGTTGTCTGATAGCCTCTGCAACCTGCTCGGATGCACTCTGCGCTGCTGCACTGTGCGTTCTGGTATACACTGACCTGCTCTGACACACCCCGCGCTTGTGCACGGCGCCTGCTGTGTCGGCGCGGTGGACTGGGGGGCCGCTGTGGTGGAGCACAGCTGTTCCATCTGCTCGGCGTGGTGGTGGGCTTCTCTGTCTGTGAAGCACGGCCTTATGCACAGTCTGTTTTTGTTATGGTCTGAGATGAGAAAACTACAAAACTTCTTACAGGGCGAATAAGCGTGACATTTTGTCATAACGTTTTATTGCGATGTATAGTTATTAGATTGGGAGTCCAGAGGAACAGGAGAAATGCTTTTAAAATAGAAACAACTTGTTGGCTGACCATTCATAGTAATGCTTGTCTTTCCTGAAATAAGTAGTTTTATTTATCAGATAGTTACGCTATTGCAGGTTGCAAGACGACTGTTCAAGTCCTCATGCAATCAGCCTGATGAATCATTTTCTTTTTCAGCCCGATCCCACAACACGACGAGCACTGTGGCCCCCTGCTCACACTCCATCTGCAGGAAGACGGCGGTGATGAGTAGCAGGGAGGCGGTCAGAGAGGCCACTGCAGCCGCGATAATCAGGCCCCGCTGTCGGCGAGAGTCGCCCCGCATCAGGTAGGTACGCTCATCGCTCTGTGGTCCATTCAGAGGCTCGTACGCCTGACCCGGCATGGCGAGATAACTGGCGAGACGACCAGACAGGGAAACTGAGGGTGGCAAGCAAAGCCTGTAACGGCAATAGGTGAATGTGTATAATAACTAATAAGATAGAGCAAGAGATATGGACACTGTGAGACTGCTGTCGAAAATGATTTTGGACCATTTGAAGCTTGAATTTTGAGCTACGTCACGCTAAGGGCGGAATTATGTTTTTTTTTCACAAATTGAAAAGTCACGTTTATCTTTGTAATGTTATTTTGTAGCGCTTACCTCACGAATCGTACCGTCTCTCCTCACTGGGTCAGTTTCTGTCTGTCTGACGTTTCAAACTTCACTGTCCCACCACTGTCACCTCCGCGCTCCCCGTGTTCGGCCCAATCACTCGTCTCCCAACTTTCTGCGATGCGTGACGACGATCGGACGTCGCCACAGCTGGACGGGGGCTGTGTGAACACCTGTGTCACTCGATAGCGTGCAGGGCGGCGCTGACAGGAGAGATTTGTGGCTGACAGGTCCGGCAAGTGGGAGAGATGTGTGGGAGCGATGCTGTTACGGGACGGGAAACGGATGGGGTCGAGGGAATGTGTGTGGTAAATTCATTTGCAATGCATGACAAGTGTAAATTTCTAAGGTGATTTAAAGTGATTTAAAGTAATTTAAAGTGGTTAAAAGTGATTTAAAGTGATTTGAAGTGATTTTGAGCGATTTGTTTGATTTGTTTGAGTGACGATTTAAAGTGATGTTTAGTGTAAATTTAGAGACGTTCGGTCGATATCGAAATATACACATATGTACGTAGTACGTACAGGTCTCGCTGGTTTTAGCGGCAGGTTTTGCACCTAGAAAATGTAGTGTACTCTTCAGGCTATATCTTCGTCGTCTTAAGCTTTTAAGTGTTGAAGATGCGATCGACTTGTTGGTTCACAGGCCGGCCATGATCGTGTAAAATGGCTTCATCGTAGATCGATTAGTGTTTAAGATATAACCGGAAATGTAAAAGTGTTAAACCTACCCTTAAAGGGACCCTCCCACCTTCAAAAAAGTTAATGAATTAGCATGAAAGTGATGTCGCTCGATTCAGAAAGAGCAAAAACGAATATGTACCAAATTTCACCGAAAAATATTCACCGGTTTTCAAGATATTAGACTTTTACTTTTGTTTACTTTTTTTGGATATCCGCTGTTCCTAGCGACTTCATTTTGGAAGTGCGGCGTTCGCGGCAGATGTTGCGCGCAAAGCAGCATATACCACCGCGTGCTACAAAACGTTTTAGTCAAACATTTAAAAATCGTTAGATATCTGCGCTGACGTCACACATTCAGAGGGGTATTCCTATGCATTAGCCCCTCTGAATCCAAATGCTGCAATTTTGAAATTCAATATTTCCGATTTAAGGCATTTCTCGATGCTGTGAGTGCCGAAACCGGTAATTGTGAGCCAGGGACCCCATTTTGGCTATCTCAACTCAAATCTAATGTTAAGGTGGGAGCCGGGAGGGTCCCTTTAATCTCGCGAGAGCCGTACCTACGGCCTGTGATGCGTTTAAGATGATAAACATCGATTTAAGATTATAAACAACTTGCTTCTTCGTAGTTTGTATAGCTTTTCGAGAAGAACTGAAGGCGGCAGAGTCATTTTTCAATGCTGTAGACATCCGACGTAACGAGACTAGAAACTGGATTACGCATGAAATCGTAGTCACCCCTCTAGAAAGACCCCATACATTTTCAAACTTCGGTAGGTAACTTCGGTAACCTATATTCACGCAATATCCCATCTTATCAAATGACTCACATTAGTGATGAATGCAAAACAGCATTCCACATTTTTATTTCTCTAAATATAGGCAACTTTAAAATTTACAGAGTCTATAACCAGGCTTTTTCTAGACCATCAATTGGAACATTTTATTCATAGCATTCGTATGAACATTATTTCTATTAGCGAGAAATATTCATCCCATGTTAATAGAATGTTCATGATATAAAAATGAAAAGAGCTCGTACCTTCGAAGATTACTTACATTTATTTCAAGAAGATTTATCATTCATCGCTTTACTTATCTAATGTTTCTCTAAAATCTAATGTTTCTCTATGCTTTGACCAGAACATGAATGTGTTATCCTATGTCAAAACACATGCGATGCCAGCGAATATTTCACCTGAATGTGAACATTTCAGCACAAAACCCACATCAACGAAATGTTCGCACCTTCTCAGCCCAGCACGTGTCTCAGAGCTATACACACAACCATTCCTAAGTACACCGAAATCACTCACTCAGCATCCTAGAAAATTCTTGCCCGCAGCAGGAGGAAAATGGGTTAAAACCGTTATGAATTCATGCAAGCATCTTCTTGTCACCTGATAGTGGCTGATCTTCCTTTATTCACAACATCCACTCACTACAACACTATTAAACGCAACACCTGTCATGCTAACACAAGAACAAGTGTAGGGTGTTTCTGACACTCGGAAAGTCTCGTTAATTCATTTAGGTCGAACAAAACTGCCTGTGAATGCCTTTCATTCTTCTCGCCTCCCCGGTTGTCGATTGTCGTGCTGACTGTTAGTTGAGGACTCCTTCCTTCAGCGACTTGTCCAGTCTGCTGATATTTGGGTTAGCCAGTCTAACCGCTATGGTTACTGAAAAGAAAAGAAAACGTGATCATTGGGTAGGACAGAGCCTGACAACCCGGAACCACTCTCTAACAAACCATCCGGTCAGGCCTTTCCCATCCTCTGTTGACCCGCCCTCTTCCCTCCAGTCCTTCGTTCCACTGTCCAATGTCTCATCCCTCTGTCCACCCCCTCCCCACTCCCATCCTTCTGTCCACTGTCCCACTCTTTGCCCACTGTCCCATCCTCTGCCCCATCCCTTTGTCCACTGTTCTATCCTCTGCCCCATCCCTCTGTGCACAATCCCATTCCTATTTCCCCGTCCCGTCCCTCTACCCACTGTCCCATCCCTCTGTGCACTGTCCCATCACTCTGTCCCCTGCCCATCCCTCCATCATCGTCCTTGTCTTCTCACCTGGCCACGGGTTTGAGCCGACACTCGGTCAGCGGCTCCCCAGTGTACTCCGGAGGACAATAGCAGATGGCCTTGTGGTTCTGGGCGCGGCACAGTGCGTTCGTGCCGCACACGTTGCCGCCGGAGGAGCTCAGGCACGGGTTAGTGCAGATGTAGTTGTAGCACGCCTGGGTGGCCGGGCAGTTGGAGTGGTCCTGGAGAGTTGAGAGGCAAAATGAGTTAGAAATGCACACGGAGTTAAATGGGTTACGAGTTCAGTTGGCGCTGGCTAATGACTGATGATTCTTTATGCGCCTGCTTTGCTCGAAACGCTGAGACGCCAATTAACGTCAATGTCAAGTTATGGTCGTCAATGTGAAAAAGATTTTTTTGTGCTCTCAGTTCAACGACATAATGAAGCAAATGTTATATCTTACGGTCTCTTACTTTCATCAAAGTCACACAAAGCTCAGTTGTTTTTTTTTTTAATATTTTTTGGTGCCCGACCATGGTGTGTCAAAAGTGGAAATAGCCGGTGCGCCGTCTGGCAACCCGGCAGCCCGCCGCCATAGGGAAATTCATGCTTTTTGTCGCTTTTTTCGCTCCTTATGAGTCACTTGATCTAATTAGAGCTTAACTAGGAACGAGGTGGGTCACTTGGACGTATTCGGGAGCCGAATACGGTGTTTTGGAGCCAATACCTGGGAAACCCTACCCGCCCAATGCGAGTATTTAAGAGCCTGCATGCCCAAATTAACGTTGAGCGCGGCCGTTTTCGGTCGGTTTTCCGCGACCTTGTGGCGAAATCGCCTTATTTATTCAACCAGGGTGGGCTAATTCGCTTAACTAGGAATGAGGCGTTGAAGAGAATTATTCAAGGAATAGAGCTGTGCAAAAATATTTTTTGTATTGTTAAAACTGTATCCGCCCTCGAACGATAAATATTGTTGACCCATCAGGAACACATCCCCTGGAATGCGTTTGGACTTGGCTGGATCTAATGTTAGCGAGTATCTGCTAATGCAGTTTCTTGGCTTACATAGCACGCACACAAGCATACATACTTCCTGCCCTTGGTTATCCCTCACTTGAATGAAAATATTGCTATAATAACTATTCCAAGCAGTTAACAGGTTTTAGTGCAGTGCCAAGTCGGAACCGTTCAGCGCCCCCGCCAGTCTCCCAGGCTGCCGCCGGCCGCCGCGCCGCCGCTCTGGCAGGGTGTTTGACTACATATCTCTGTTGCTAGAAAAGTTGTGGACCGATTTACTTGATTCTTGCATGAAAAGATCCGCCATTCAATTCTTAGCAGATAACGAAAATTTGACGTCAATTGCACGATCCGCTGCCCATATTGTGGTACTGCCATCTATTGACAAGGCTGGCGAACTAAAGCCGGGCGGCTATTTCCACTTTTGACACACCATGCCCGGGCTTTTTGTCGTTAGTAGCACACATTCATACTGGGTTAGATACACTATATATGTTACGGGTCATATGCTAACTTGGGCAGTATGCAGACTGCCCGGGCAGTATGCAAACTACCCAACAGCCCGGGCAGTATGCATACCGCCCGGGTAGTATGCATACTACCCGACCCCTTGGGCAGTATGCATACCGCCCAAATGCTTGGGCAGTTTGCATACTGCCCGCTTCTCGTCTTGAAGTTGTGTATTCCATGTCCATTTTAAAAATAAAAATGGCAGTGAGTAACGTAGCTTAACTACAAAGTATGTTTTGCCGTCAAACGCGATTTATCGATTGAAGGATGGAATAAGAATTGGAATATGACTTAATTTTTTCTCAGAATATTAGCCAGCGGCCAACAAGTCTTTTTCATCTGAAATGAAGGGAGTTCTATAGTTTCATCACTCGCTGGCTTTGGTTTGGCATCTGGACCTGCAGAGGACGTAAGTACAGTTTCAATAGCTAATGCTCACTGCATGAAACCATTTGCATGTAAGGCGTAACAAGTTCTTATGGTCAGGTAACTGCAGGGCAAATCAAGTGACCTTACCTCAGAAAAAAGTTAGAACTTGTTCGCCATAGCTACCCCGACTGAACGATCGCTTTGAAACTTTCAGCGATCAATAACAGTAAAAGTATGTATAAAATACATGAATTGGCACTTTGATGTCCAACCGATGACCTAAGGTCAGGCCAATTTTGCACAGTCTCTTAGAAGTTGACAGGAGAAAGTTGAAAGACGCCTTTTTGGATAAAAGTCCTTCTAAACGCTCTCAAACATCGGGTTCCATGTAAACACAACACACTGAATCGGCAAATTGCACTTGTGGTGACCCCTCTTTATGACCATGAGGTCATGTCAGGTCATAGCAGATCTGCAGTAGTTTTTTTTTACGATTACTTTTTATGTTATGGAGACGTATGCGAGCGATGGAAACAACCTTAGATGTGTTTAAGTCGACGATAAGGATCGCCTGATAACCAACATGACCTTTTCATGTCAGGTCATGACCTTAGCCTTAGGTCAAATTTTAATGTGGTCTTAAAAGACAAATTATAGTTAACTCGACGCGTCTCGACGAGAGGAACACGATGCCGGCAAACGCAATGTCGTGCCTATCTAAGGTAAACTAATTTTGCCGTAAAATAAATCGTCAAAACAGCTATTTTAAGCGTTGTTGCCCTCTGGAGGCTGCACCGTTGAGCTTAGGTCAACTTTGAGGGTTTAATCCAGAAAGCGTTAAAAGAGCTACTGAATGCGTATCTCTGCGGCGCTTTAGCTCTATTAGTTTCCGAGCTTGTGGGCCGATTTGTAAAAAAAGTTAAAAAGGTGAAAATTGACCTTTGATGACCTCTGGTGACCTGATCTTTGGCCTGACTTAAACATGACTGGAGTTTTTCTATGATTTTTGATGTTATTTTGAATGCTGCTTACCGCATCTTACATGTAGCTTACTCCTGTGCCGCCAAGTGGCACAGGAGTCGAGTCAGAGGTGCTCATCCCCTCCCCCCCCAAAAAAACCGGCACGGCTGGCGCCGAGCGCGGCTCCGCGCGGGTTAAAGTGTCTGCCATTGACATAGTATGCGAGCTGTTGCATTAACTAGCCTCACGAGCCACGGTCAGCATACTGCCCGAGTCAACATCCTGCCCGTGAGAAGAAAGGTGGGTAGTATGCATACTACCCGGGCAGTATGCAAACTGCCCGGGCGGTATGCATACTGCCCAAGGGGTCGGGTAGTATGCATACTACCCGGGCGGTATGCATACTGCCCGGGCTGCTGGGTAGTTTGCATACTGCCCGGGTAGTTTGCATACTGCCCGAGTTAGCATATGACCCGTAACATATACACGGCAGTGGTACGAATCGTTTTCGGCACCCACTACGCGGGACAGCCTTGACCGCACGCTTCCTGTCACGCACCCCAGGTGGCACCGCACTGGTGTGCACGCTGGGGCTATCCCGATTTCTCGGGCCCGGCAGGTCAGAGGGTTGCTCCGGGACATGAAGCGAGGCCGTGCCCTCGGGACATGTCACCGGATCGAAGGATCTGTTTAAAGGCGGATCAGGCCCGTGTACGGGGACCCGCAGTTGCTACTGTACAGCGACCCTGAGTAAATTGTCCCAGCACACTCACAGGGAACAAAAATAAGCTGTCAGAGGGCACGCACAGAAAATTTCAGCTGCTCTTACACAGGGACCGGCAGTCGGATATCAATGTTATCGGTTGTTACTGGACAGGACAGACGGCTAGAGTTGGGGTTCGTGTACAGTAGCAACTGCGGGTCCCCGTACCTGCAGCCGGGGGCGCTGGCTGGCGCGGTAATCCCCACGACCGAGCGAACACTCCCCAGTTACTGCCATCTCCTGGGTAGGAGCCGGCCGAGGAAAACGCTGCCATAGGTCAGCTTTGATCCAAGGACCTCCCACGCCAAACGTGAACGCACTTGCCAACTGCGCCACAATGGTGGTTCAGCTCAGTTGTTTGTCATTACAAAATAAATCCATCACCTATCCAACAACCATATTCATTATTCACTCAATGGCCAGATGCTCTCTACCTGCCGCCATCCGAATAAGCACTCACCACGCACTCGCCGCGCTGGCAGGCGGTCAGCGGGTCTCCCAGGTAGCCCTTGGGGCACGTGCACACGGCCCGCGGCTGGCCCAGCCTGTCCGTTCCCGGGTTACAATCGGCGTACTGTCCGCACGGGTTCGGCGTGCACAGGTCTCCTGACGGCAGAGGAGTGAGGAGTGACTGTGTTAAATGGAAGTGATGGTGGACTAGGCACAGTGCACACTGGATTATTGCACAGTGATTATTGCACTAGTTATATGCCTAACAAGCAGAAGATATTTAGTGAAATGGTTGTTCTTCGATATATCCAAAAAGTCATGTTGACTGCAATGTAGCATACCAAAACCCTCAAGGATAGAGTGACTTGCTACGTTACTGGTATGCACCCTTAAACATTCCAATGATGGCAGTTATTCTTACCCACGGACGGAGCAGTCTGCACAAACACTCCAGAAGATGATCCAGCGTTGCCTGAGAAAACAATGGAATACAACCGTGTCAGTGAGGCACACTATCAAAAACGTAGGCAGGCAAAGTCGCGCACAGCAGAAATAAGAAACAACAGTGAAAAAAACTTAAGTGTTGCTACGCTCATTTCTTTGAGCTTAGGGGAAGTTGGGGGAACGCCGAATACTTTTTTTCTGACGCCCGTAGCACGCAAGGTAGACAACATAAGCTATTCTTGTTGGCGTCATTCGAGAGGCCAGCCTTTTGCCTTTCAAACATACCAGGCGCATTTGTTGAATTCGCATACCGTTAAGCGCACAAACTAAAAATATCAAAGAAGTGACTTTTTCGGCGTTGCCCCGGACTGCGGGAAAGCCGAAAATGGGAGAAATGATCTACGGGAATGCCGAAATTGATGTTTTGCTATTTTATCTCAAATTTTATCCAGAATTCGTCAAAGCTGACACGCGTTTTAAGAGCTTGAGGACCCTTGGTGCACACTGGAAGTTATGATTGTGTGATATAATAAGAAAAGGCCAGGTAAATCATTCCTTATGGTAACAGACAGGCCGTTGTGTCGGTTAAAAGTGTAATTTGTGTGACTAAAAATACGCGTTGCTATTCTACAGCGGTAAAGTTCACGTAGCGTGCTTTAACGCGCGTAATTGCACGTTTTCGGCATTACCCCAGCCAGCCATACTTTCATTTGCAGGCCCATAACTTTTCAACGTGCTGTATAGATTTCAAATAGGCAGCACACTTATGCAAAGACGTGCTGAAGATTACTTGACCGAATTGGCCAGACAAACGGTAGCATAATGAGTAGGAAATGCGGCTTCGAAGACGCATGTAGTACAAAGGAAACGTACCTTGAAAACGCTCTTGGCGCCCTCACAGCCGAAGTATTCCGAATGACGACTGGTAACAAACATGCGATAATTGGTAGTCACTTAAGCTTCAGAGCATCACTGACAGGTGGCATCCATGTCGTACGGTTTTCGAAATATCTCAAATTTCGGCTTTGCCCCAACTCCGGCATTGCCCCAACTTCCCCTATACTAGCTAGCTGGTCGTGATTGACTAATCTCTGCATAAAGTCACCATCCAAATTATGGATTAATATGCAAACCTTAATGCAATGAGCAGTAGTCGATGAACATGTGCAGTGACCTGACTGAGTAGTTGTATTTACGAATGTGCAATAGGGTCTCTGATCGAGACTTCTACTCACCGGCGCTCGTCTCACAGGTATCGCAAACGGTGCCAGAAGACCCTCCTCCGTGGACAGAGGCGGCCGTAGCGACGGCGGCAGCTGCAGCACAAAGAACAGCGCGGGAAGTCAGGTCAGGCCCGGCTCGACCCAGCTGGGTGCCCCTCCCTCCCTTCACTGTCCTCCCTTGGTTCGAATAGCCATCCCTTTCCCTCCCCCTCTTACTTGGGTCGGGTTGAGTGGAGCGGTCGTAAGGATGACATGACCTATAGGTAGCCTGGCGCCCCCTCTACCCTAAACTACCCTGACCCGAGCAGCCTCTCCCTCTCTCCTGTCTCTCTCTCTCTCTCTCTCTCTCTCTCTCTCTCTCTCTCTCTCTCTCTCTCTATCTCTCTCTCTCTCTCTCTCCTCTCTCTCCCTCCTCTCTCTCTCCTCTCCGTCCCTCTTTCTCTCTCTCCCTCTCTCCCCTTTTCTCCCTCCTCTTTCTCTCTCCCTGCCCCTCTCCCTCTCCCTCTCCCTCTCCCTCTCCCTCTCCCTGCCCCTCTCACCCGGATCGGGCGGAGTACAGCGGTCGTACGGGTGGCCCAGGTAGCCGGTCGGGCACGAGCAGATAGCCGTGTGGTCCCGCACGCGACAATCAGCACCAATACCGCAGGCGCCGGCGCACGGGTCCGTGCACTGCAGCTGGATACATGCGCGGTTTCCGGCACACTCGGCGTGGCTGGTGCACTCCGGGAAACAGCCGGTCAGAGGACTGCCCTTGTAGAACTGGGGACACTTGCACACCGGGCGATGGTTGACGGCGTCGCAGCGGGCGTTCTCGCCGCAGGCGTCGATGCAGGCGCTGCGACACCGGTTCTGTGGACAGAGGGGGCGTAGCGTTCAGGGGCTGCATACTCGATGATATCTTTCATGCTTGCATATTTGAATGTACAAGTTGAGCATCGACCTTTGCGCATCCCGCTGCAGGCATTATGGCCTTTTTGTCATGAACTCGAGACTGATTTTCAGTTGCAGCTTCTTTTGATGTAACTCAAATACTCGTAGCTCAAACTCACACGGTGGCTCACCCAGTACCAGCTCAGGCTGTTTTTTTCCTTCTTTGCTCAGGCCTTGCGACCAGCTGTAGCACCAAGATCTGACCAAAGCTCACCCAGTATCTACACCTATGATATTCTCACCTGCGAACAGGCCTGGTGGCCGGCGCACTCGGCGTCGCTGGTGCACTCGGGACGACAGGCCACCAGCGGGTCACCGATGTAGTTCTGCACACAGCTGCAGATGGCCCGGCCGTTCTTGACCTCACAGTTGGTATTGGTGCCGCAGGGGGACGGGCTGCACGCCGCCCTTGGCGACTCTGTGGGCTAGATATCGTGGGATAGTGAAGTGATGGAGAGCTAGAAAACAGACCCTTTGTGTGGTAGGATACATTTTGTGAATAAAATCATATTTTATATGCGACGAGATGAAATTGATTCGCAGGGTTTAGATACGAAGGCTCTGCAGTTTTTTTCGGTCTTCTCAATGAGTTGTATAAAATAAACACGGCATAAGCTGAAAACTATCGATTCGAAATGATGCCTGATGCTGACTCAATTGTCACATATTATCGGAAACTATGTACACGGAAAGCTGACACTACAAAACTAACCGCTTTTAATTAACTTAAAATGTATGTCAATTTTGCTAGTTGACAGTTTTAAGAACTTTTGGATCTCCCCTCCGTCTCAGTCGCTCGACTCACGCCGGGTGCAGCTGACGAACGGGTCACCGCTGTACCCCCGGGGGCAGCTGCAGATGGCACGGTGCTGGATCACCTTGCAGTTGGCGTTCAGACCGCACTGCACCTCAGCGCACGGGTCGACGCAGTTGACACCGATACAGGCCAGACTGGCGCCGCACTGAGAGTCCTCTGCCGGTGGAGGTCGCGTCAGAACGGTGCAGTTCTGGTACAAATGGTGGTGAGATGTGATTGGCGAAGGCGTGGGCGGATTACGTGTGCGTCTGCGTTACTTACTTATTATGATTGATGGTCATGTGGGCAATAATAATGCAGACAGAAAGAGGCCGAAAGCATAAAATACCTACTTTAGAAAAAGGACGAACACACAAATGACCCTCTTTAACTTCCCAAAATGTGAAACAGCTCGAAGACTATTGCAAAACTGTTCATTGTCCCCGCGACATTTCCCCTCGTAATTCCTTGCACTCATTAAATGTGGAGCGAGAGTGACGGCAGTTTACGACAGTACTTCGAGGAAGTGTCGGTGTGTGATCAGTCATGGGACTCACCTGTGCACTCGCCCTTGTTACACTGGACGAGAGGGTTGCCCGAGTAGCCGGCCGGGCAGGAGCATACGGCCCGGCCTCCGACATTGTCACAGTTGGCGTTCAGGCCGCATAGACCCAGACTGCACGGATCCGCAGCTGCAGGCGAGGGTGAGACATCAGCGATTCAGCTACGTGTAGGCATAGAAAAAAGCTTTATTTTTATGCTACTTATATCTTATTGATGTTTTCTGCATCGGGAACTGAAGATTATTCCGAGTAAGAAACATAAGTTAAAACTTGCTTTACTGGGATGCATATTGCATATGCTGTAACGCATTCGCCCGTCAGCACTCAGCAGCTCAGTCACAGTAACCTTTGTGGTCTTCGGCCAGTGTCCTAATCTGCTATAAATCGATGCCAGATCTTTTGTGCTTCTTATGACCGCTAAACACACCTTTTGGGTAAGTCTATTTTTTCAATTTCAGCTCCATGACACGACACGACACGACACGACACGACACCTTTGACACGACTTTTACTTTCCCGTGCATCAAAGCCATTTTGATTCAGCAAGATAGTTTGCTGTATCGGTCCACGGGCAAATGTCGGACCTGTCTATAAAATGCACTCCTTCGCCATTTGGTAGCGGGTACCACGAAAATGGTAGATCAAAAGGAGCTATCAATAGCTCGTAAATGTGCACTGTTCATCTATGTAGGTGCGGCAGTCATGACCCACCAGACATGTTTGTTTTCAACCCAACGGCAAAAGTTTATAAAAGCAGACTCATTTGCTAGGCTCAGGACGAGCACTGGTTTGATCGATCCGGGTACCAGTAAGCAAAAATGGACATGCATTTATGTAAATACAGTTTGGTTGCTGAGTTTCTGTTGACTTACAAAATAAGAGCGGTACTTACAGGCGGCGGCTGGGTTTCTGGAGACGACCGTCTTGGTCCGGTGAATCGTCTGTGATGTGCCTCGAATGCCTGAAAAATCGCTATTTGTTAATGGTTATATAGTTCGTCATTGCAGGGTCCATTTTCATTGGAACACATAACTACTCTGATTATGAAGTATTGGGCTCCAAAGTACAATCCACAGCAGAAGTAATGTGTGGTTTCAGTCATGGGTATGTTCTGCTTCTGAAGCCTAGGAACGATTAGCCAGACTGCAACGAGACTTTAAATGTAGCTTACATGTATCTTCACCCTTGCAGCTACAACTTTATCTATTGACATCTTCTTTTCAATCAGTCCGTATTGAAAAATCGTCGGTCAAAGCCATCCGTTGAGATTGGTAAAACCACACATTACTTTAACGGTGGGCTGTACATACCTTAGAGGTAGCTCGATGTCGAGCTACCGCTGCGACATAATCAAAGTAACACATACGTAGGCCAGCATGGTGTTCACTATATTGTGTTCCCTACATTTCACTGACCTGTTACAGATGCGCCGGAGCGGACACATTTGTTGTTCACGCAGTTGTACCCAGACCCGCATTCACTGGCGCTGAAAGAAAAAGAAGCGTTTTAACTTGCAAGCATGGTGCTTTACTTATTGTGCGCATTAGTGTTGATGATAGCGCTTACAAGCGATAGCGTTGCACTCCTATCAACGTAACATTTACAAAGTTGTTGATCTATTCACATAAGGATGATGTTTGTCCTTGGAGAGAATAATCGACTCCCGACGCTGAGTCATCCTCCACATTGAGTTTCGGAATAAGTGGCGACTGAAGGCGTGGCCTACCCATATGAAGAACTCGATAACCTTCGGGAAATCTTCTGGAACATCCACGAACCACTGGTGCCACCAGTCCGACCTAATCTGGGCAGCTGAGCTCTGAATCTTACACGGAACTTTTCTTTTATCGGGCCTTTGTACCATGGCTGACATCTACCCTAAGCGCTATGCAGCCTCAGCCTGCAACCATTTCAGGACACCTTAATTTGAATCCTGATATTATGCCTGAGAACGAAAACAAAAATAAAAACATCGTCAAGTCATTGTTCGGTCTATCAATCAATACCACTCCGATCTTTTTTTGTATGGAAAGAAAACGGCACTGTCATCCCAGGACTCTGATGGCCTTGACCTACGGAGGGCCAACAGACAAATCCCTGGCCATGCACCGGTGATGGAGGGAACACAACAGCGTTAGCTATCGCCTACAATCTCATTTGTGACCAGCAAGTTATGCCAGCATGGTGTTTTGTCGCATGACTAACTAGAATGGCTTTCTTGCCAAGTGACCTCTTGCGATTCCCCAACGCTGGCTAGGCGCCCCTCCACTGACCTGACAGTAGGTACGACCCTTGCCAGTGACATTATTGGTGCCACTCCACTGCCCCCCCCCCCCCACTGACCCAGCTATGTATCACTCTCTCACCTCTCGCCCATTTATTGGTACACTTAAGCCTGAGACAGACTATTTCCGCAGTCAGAAAATCGCATATGTGAGAGCCTATTCAAATACATAGAAGCACGCTCGCATCAATCGCACGCACCTCCTGCATGCGATTGATGCGGGAAGAATTATCATTAGCGTCGCCACGGGGGGGCAAGCGGGGCAGCTTGCCCCCCCAACCTCTGACCGGGCACCCACTGAGATCGATACAGATTCGATGAGATTTTGGAGTTGGGGAAAAATGGGGGGTACCTTTCTGAGAATGCCTGTGATGTCAGACTCGGTTGGAGCGTGCAGTTCAAACCAGAGTCGGAGTAGCAGTCGCCAAAATCTGCAAGACCCCGACTCCAGACTCGGAAATGTCAATGCTGTGATTCATTCCCTGTTCCTAGTGGGTTCTTTATTACATTTTATAGCTGATTTTCATAAGTTTTAGAGTGCTGACACATAATTTTCGTTCAAAGCGTGACACGAAATCTTCGGGGCCTTTCTCAACTCTCGTCAAATGTCTGCGACAGGCTCAAGTACTGTTCAAGTGCCGGAGGGCTCATGAGCTTGCTTTTCACACAGGCTCCTAAGGAGCTCTACTGAGCTCTAAGAAGCTTTCAGAGGGCCCAAACCGGCCTCTGAGAGTAACACTGGTGTCCATGTTCTCTGA